GATCAACTGGGCGTTTTCTTTTGCCGGTTGGTTTTTGTTCGACCCTACAGCAGAGCCATAAATGTAAAGCCCGCAAAAGTTTTCTTTTGTGGGCTTTTGTATTTTTTACTTCTGCCCCACTGATCTGATTAAAACAACCTTGCGCAACGTTGGATTAACGTCAGGCTTTTCTACCAGCAAACTCTGAAATCCCGAAAAAATTCCCGAAGGGTGAAGCGGTGTACCAGTTGCGACGTTGTCGTCAGGTGTTGTAGATGTATATATCGTCACGCACCGCGACACCTGATTTGCAAAGCTCATCACACAGCTGCTCGATCCAGACATCTATTGGCGTTGATGTAAAAAAACGCGCTCTAATCTGTGTGAGGTACGCTGTGTCCGTGGCCCACATCACAAATTCGTCGAAGGTTTGCTGTTGGGTTTCAAGCAGTTTGAATTTGAGCAACACCTTTGATGCGTGGTGCGCATGCTTCAGCGGGTTGGCAACAAAGGAATCCAGTCGGCGTCTCGCAGTTTCCAGTACGCCTGGGCAGTAGTTGAAGACAGCTCCATGGCCAGGTATGACGATCAAAGGGCTGAGCCGCTCTATTAGATTCAGCGTCGACCCCACTTCATCGAAAGCCTTTTCACCCTCAAGCTCCGGAAACACAACACCGAAGCCGTTCTCCCAAAGCGCATCTGCTGATATCAATAGTCTTTTGGACGCCTCAAAAAAGATTAAAGAGTTCGGGTCATGTCCAGGGGCAGAGTGGATTTGCCATTTCGATGAGCCGAAACTCATTTCAATACCTGGCTCCAGCTTTCTGGAGAATGAAAATTGTGGACACAGCTGGCCGGTCGGCTGATAGGTCAAGGCAACCGGATCCCAAACAGCCACATGAGCGGCCAGGCCGGGCGGTATTAATGTCTGCAGACTTTCGTAGCGAGCCTGAAGCGCTGCATTGCCACCGCAATGATCGCTGTGCAAATGAGTGTTGACCAGGATATCGAGGGGTCGCGTGCCCAAAACAGACTCCACCAATGCGACTGTTTGTGACGAATGGGTGGTGTAGCCGCTGT